TTGTGATAGAATATGCCCCATGAATGAGTTGTCAAGAAAGTTGATGGTTAGTTAGATAGAATGCTCATATTCATCTTCCCCCCTTTCAAAAGATATTGGGTTAATAATCCAAATAATTTGACAAAGTTAATCATACTCATTTTTTTCCTTAAAAAAATATTCCAAATAATTCGACAAAGTTGATCAAAACTCCCAAGTTTTTCCTTCCTGAAAAAGGATTATTTAAGTTTTTGATGTTGTATGAAACTCACTCTTTAAGGCCTCTATAGGGAAATCATAAAGTAAGCGGACATTGTAGGATCCGATCATTTACCATTACCATAACACAAAGTTATAAAGAGAAATAGCATTCGTTGGTTTTGTTTATTATGAGAACTTATTTGAATCAAGAGAAATAGCATTCCGTTGAACTTGTTGATTGGATAACCATTCAAAGGTGTTGTTCATGATAGGAGAATTCTGGCTCAAAGGGTTTCATTAGCTAAATCAATGGTTTTGCTTATTAATTAGGTCCCATGTATGATAACCTTTCCCACTCAAAATCTACTTTCTTATTTAAGAAAATTTGCATACGAAAAAGAAATTTTCAGGGTTGGAATTTCTTTTCCTTTTCTCCTTCTTTTTCATCAACTGAGACTTGGATGTTAAAAGCGAAAAGCAACTTGAATTGAGGTCCGCTTATACCGGGAAGTTTCGGAACTTGAGGGTCTACAATGTAAATCATGGAATTTATTTTTCTAATACCTAGTTAAGAAAATGGGTGGGATAAGGAAATTTACCCACCTATTAATTAAAAGAAGGTCTAAATTATTAGATTAGCATTTTATCTCAACCTTGATGTAGAACACACAGCAGACATGTTTATGTCAAAGTGGGACAGTCGCAAGCCCAAATGCGGGCCTGGCAGACATGTTTATGTCAAAGTGGGACAGTCGCAAGCCCAAATGCGGGCCTGGTCGAAGAAAATAACATGTTTCGAAGAAACGGCCGTAACTTTCAAACCGTACGTCGGAATTGGACGAATTATATATGAAAATCGACTATCTCGACGAGACGGAGCCATCCAAACCCACCCCTTCGGGTTCGGTTTGCGTTCTCAGATTCGCCAAATTCCTTACGGTTTGAGAGATAATTACAATTTTGTCCGTTTTTACTATTTTTAGTAATAATTTAGGAGTCTGTTTTGTTTAGGAAACAAATCCGATTTGATCTCAGATTTGACCGGTGGACTTTCCTATTCATAAGGAGTCTTTTTAGGAGTTTTAATGTTTTAGGAATTCTTTACCATTTTTGGTAAGTTGAGAGTCCTTGTAGGAATTAGAGTCCGTGTAGGAGTCTTGTTTCTTTTTCTATTTAAGAAGAGTCTTGTAAGCCTAAGAGGCATAACTTTTGATTAATAAAATTTTGTTTTTCCTCAATATTTCTTCGTGGATTCGAAGATCGTTCTTTGTGGATTCAGAGAACACCCTTGGTGGATTCCGAGGTTACAACTTCTGCGCTGCGTCAATTGGTATCAGAGCCTTCTTGAATTGAGTTCGACATGCTAAAAGCCGATGTCAATCAGATGAAGACTGTCATGGAGCGAATAGCAGCGGTAGTAGAGCGTCTGGAGATTGCAGGAGATCGAAATCGCGTTGATGGTCGCCAACGACGTGAACCGACTCCGTATGAAGATTCCGACAGCGAGGAAGATCACTATGCACCCCCACGCCGCGGTGTTTATCGTAGAGACCGACGACAAAGGGATAATTATGACGCTGGAGGTTTCTAGATGAAGATGGATCTGCCATCTTTCAACGGGCAACTTCATATTGAAGAGTTTCTCGACTGGATTGCAGAAGTAGAGAGGTTCTTTGAGTATATGGAGATCCCTGAAGAACGTAAGGTTAAATTGGTGGCTTACAGACTCAAAGGTGGAGCTTCGGCTTGGTGGGAGTCTGTTTGTCTGAATCGATCTCGTCAAGGAAAGCTGAAGGTCGATAGGTGGGAAAAGATGAAGAAGCTACTGAGAGCCTGTTTCTTACCAAGTGATTATGAACAAGTTTTATTTGGGCAGTATCAGAATTGTAGGCAAGGTGGAAGAACCGTGGATGAGTATACGCAGGAGTTCTATCGACTGTCATCCCGCAACAATTTACACGAGAGCGAGGCGCAGCAGATGTCTCGATACATTAGGGGATTAAGGATAGCGATTCAGGATCATGTATCTTTGCAGCAGACCTATACATTGGCAGACACAGTTAGCCTAGCCGAGAAGGTGGAGCGACAGCTTGGACGAAATAGTAAAGGATCGTGGGCAGCTTCTGACGGTTCGCGCACGAACTTTAATCGTGGTGGGAATAAACAGTCTCAAACTGTTCCTGATCAAGATTCTACGACAGAAAAGGGCAAGGGGCCAGCGACGACTGCAGCGAAGAAGCCTACTCCAACGAACCCTTATGCCAAACCTGACCCGATCAAGTGTTATAGATGCGGACAGTCTGGTCATCGTTCCAATCAGTGCCCTAAAAGAGGTACTGTGAACATGGTGGATCATGAAGATGAGGATACAGACTGAGACGATGTTGAAGACTATGATGATGGGTTGGATGCTGATGATGGGGAACAACTCTCATGTGTTGTGCGGCGACTATTGTTGGCTCCAAAGGCAGAAGAACCACCACAGAGGCATAATATCTTTCGAACGAGATGTACGGTGCAACAGAAGATCTGCGATGTCATCATTGATAGTGGGAGCAGCGAGAATATTGTATCTCGGCGCATGGTGGAGAAGTTAGGGCTGAAGACGGAAAAGCATCCCGCTCCTTACAAGATCGGCTGGATTCGCAAGGGTAATGACGTACAGGTTGATGAAGTGTGTCGGGTATCCTTTTCCATTGGCCGAACTTATGTGGATGAGGCATTGTGCGATGTAGTAGAGATGGATGCATGTCATATGTTGTTAGGCAGACCTTGGCAGTTTGATGTTGATGCCACGCATAGAGGGAAAGATAACGTCTACATCTTTAAGAAGGATGGTCGCCGAATTGTGCTCAAGCCTCTAACCGAGAAGGGACCTGTCAAAACCATTGTGGCTGAAAAGAAGAATTTCTTGGTCGTTGACAATGAAGACTTTATGAAAGATGTGAAGTAATCTGATGAGATTTATGCCCTTGTAGTTTCGGGAAAAGAGGAGTCTGCCACTGTCGAAACTCCACATGAAGTACAGACCCTCTTACAACAGTTTGATGCAGTTATGCCTGATGATCTTCCTTCTGAATTACCCATGCTTAGGGACGTTCAACATCAGATCGACCTTATCCCTGGATCCCGACTACCAAATCTGCCACACTATAGGATGAGTCCGAAGGAAGGAGAGATTTTGCAGAAGCAGGTGGATGATCTCATCCAGAAGGGCCTTATACGACCTAGCATGAGTCCTTGTGCAGTGCAAGCACTACTAGTCCCAAAGAAGAACGGAGAGTGGCGTATGTGTGTGGACAGTAGGGCTATCAACAAGATTACGGTGAAGTACAGATTTCCTATTCCACGCTTGGAAGACATGCTAGACATGTTATCTGGTTCAAAGGTGTTCTCCAAGATAGATCTCAAGAGCGGCTATCATCAGATTCGGATTAGGGAAGGAGATG